GGCTGACGGTGCAAGGCTTGGGGTCGCACATACTGTAAGCTGACTGTGGCGCTACCAAGCGTGTTGGCGCACCTCTCGAGCGTAGCTCCTATCATATAAATAACTAGCATTGGGTACGTGGCGTGGGCTCTCTGTCTTTCAAAAAGAATAATACAGGGTTTTATTATAGTAAAAAGAGGATGTGTAATCTTTTTTGAATATTGGGGAACCACCCTCAAAACCTTTTAAAAATTAATGATCGATAGTGAACAAGTACTGTAAAGGAAAGGTGAAAAAGAACTTTTGAGTTTGAAATAATTCTGAAACTTAATGTTAATAATCAATTGGAACTTTTTTAAAAAGTGACAGTGTACCTTTTGCATAATGGGCCAGCAAGTTTATTTTTATAGCAAGCTTAATTTAATAAAGTAGGCGTAGATAAATCAAGTTTTAAAAAGCTTTTTAGTTATATAAATAAGACCCGAAACTGAGTGATCTAACCATGAACAGATTGAAAAATAGGTAAAACTATTTGGAGGATCGAACTCACATATGTGGCAAAATATGGAGATGATTTGTGGTTAGGAGTGAAAGGCTAATCAAACTCAGAGATAGCTGGTTTTCCGCGAAATCTATTGAAGTAGAGCATTTAAAATCTTTTTTTGGGGTAGAGCACTCATTGAGCTAGGGGGTGTAAAAACTTACTAAATTCTTAGAAACTCCGAATACAAAAAAAAGTAATTTAAATAGACAGACATTAGGCGCTAAGGTCTATTGTCAAGAGGGAAACAGCCCAGATTGATCGCTAAGGTCTCTAAATAATATTCTAAGTGAAAAAGGAAGTGAAAAAATTATTACAACCAGTAGGTAGGCTTGGAAGCAGCCATCCTTTAAAGAAAGCGTAATAGCTCATTGGTCTAGTTTTTTTGCGCCTAAAATGTATCGAGACTTAAGAAATTTACCGAAGCGGCAAGTTTTATTTTAAATAAAACGGTAGCGGAACATTCTGTATGTTAATAAAGATATATTGTGAAATATATTGAAGATATCAGAAAAGAAAATGCTGGCATTAGTAACAAAAAATAACGTATATGAATCGTTATCACCGTAAATCCAAGGGTTTCTATGTTAAAATGTATTGCATAGAGTGAAACGGCCCCTAAGAAAGATTTGACGAAAGCAAATTTTGATGGGATAATTTTTAAATTAAATTTTTTTAAAAAAGTGACAAAAATTTTTTAATTTTTCAGGAAATAGCTTTTTTAATTAAAAACCGTACCCTAAACCGACACAGGTGGATAGGTCGAGTAGACTAAGGTGAATGAGAGAACTATATTGAAGGAACTCGGCAAAATGACTTTGTAACTTCGGGATAAAAAGTACCTAATTATTTAAATTAATTAGGTGTCACAAAATAGGGGGTTGCGACTGTTTAATAAAAACTTAGGACTCTGCTAAATGGGTAACATGATGTATAGGGTCTGACACCTGCCCGGTGCTGGAAGATTAAAAGGGAGATGGTTTGCGCATTAAATGGAAAGTCCCCAGTAAACGGCGGGCCGTAACTCTGACGGTCCTTAAGGTAGCGAAATTCCCTTGTCGGGCAAGTTCCGACCTGCATGAATGGGGAACGACATCCCCCGCTGTCTCCAATATAGACTCAGGGAATTTGAATTATCCGGGAGGTTGGGGATTTTCTATAGTTAGGACGG